CGGCCCAGCCGAGGCGCGGACGCCCGAGGCGGCCGCGGCCGCGGCCGCGCCCCGCACGCGGGCCGCGCGCGCCCGCGGGCGCGGGGCGCGCATCGCGCCCCCCGCGGCGCCCGGGCGGCCGCTCGAGGGCGCCAGCCGCCTGCAGTAGACAACAGGACTAGACACCAGCTCCAGCATTTTTTCATATACGCAGGTGTACATGCAGATCTGTGTAGCTATATGGGTATGTGTCTGTGTGCATGTATATGTGTGTGTGTGTGCGTGCATGTAGAAAAACCGATTCCTATACTTATACGTGTGTGTGTATCTGTATGTATGCATGTATGTATGTCTGTATGTATGTATGTATGTATGTATGTATGTATGTATGTATACATGCATAAATGCATGCATGTATGTATGTATATATGGATGCGCATGCGTGTATACATTCATATTTGCTAGCCAGCGTGGACCCCAACCAGTGTGTTTCGAGCAATCCATGTTGTTAGATCCCTATCCTGGGCAACATATGCGGTGCAGTCTAAATGGTGCAACATATGTGGTGCAAGCTGTGTGGTGCAACATATGTGGTGCGATCTACTTGGTGTCATTTATGTTGCGCCACATATGTCGTGCGATCTATGTGGCGCAACCTATGTTGAGCAATATATGTTGGGCGCTCTATGTGGGGCAATATAAGTGGAACGATCTATGTGGTACAATCTGTGTGGTGCAAGCTATGTGGTACTATCTATGTGGTGCAAAATCAATGCGAGGCGGCGACGGGGCGGGGACGGCGACTACATAGCCGCCAGACCAGCACGCAAGCCCACACGACAGTCGGCGATGAGGCGGCAACGGCGACGACATAGCCGCCAGACCGGCACGCAAGCCCGAACAATTGGCAGCGACGAGGCGGCGACGGCGACGACATAGCCGCCAGACTGGCACGTAGGCCCAGGTCCTTAGAAGAGAAGTAAGACACCCTCAGTGCAAGCCAAGCACTGATTGGGGAATTTTCGTCTTCCCCTCCGTTCCCAAGATTTTCATGGAAATCGACGTTTATTTGCGTCAGCGTCGAATCTTCCTTCCTGGTATAAGGACTCGAACCACGCGCGCTTTGCGCGCGCTCAGGCTCTAGCGCAAAAAAGGTCAACGTCTCGACACCGCTCGGTGCGTATCGTCACGTCTGTCTTGCAACAACTTCGAACCTTTTGTCGCACTCCTCCCGTTACTCACCCTCTACCATCTATTTCCTCCTCCCTCTCCTCTACCATCTCTTTCTACCTATCTCCTCTACCATCTATTTCCTCCTCCCTCTCCTCTACCATCTCTTTCCTCTCCTCCTCCCTCTCCTCTACCATCTATTCCCTCCTCCCTCTCCTCAATTTCTGTTCCGTCGCCTCTACCATCTATTTCCTCCTCCCTCTGGCTCCTCCCTTCCGCCCGCTGTCCCTCCCTTCTCGCTCTTCTCTCCCATCTCCTGCGCCCTGTCTGCTCTCGGGTTCCCGTGGGGCCTCGAGGGACGTCTGGAAGCCATCCTCGGCCGTGTGGGGGGCATCTTGAAAGGTCGCGGGGGCCCTGGTGGACCGTCTTGGGGCTCCCTCGGGCTGCTCGGGGGCGCTCTGGGCCTGTCTGACGCTTTCAGACGCAGTCTGGCAGGCACTCTGGGAGGTCTCCAGGGCCGTCATGGGAAACTCTGGGGCGTTAGGAGGGCCGTCTTGTGGCCTTGTGGGGCTTCTCTTGGGGCAGGCTTGGACCATTCGGCGACCATCCAGAAGCCTCAGAATGTAATTGGAAGCGAAGCGGCGATATCTTCAAAAACTCACGATTTCCCTGTGACCCTCTCGAAACCATCTTTTTTTGTTGTATGTATGTATGTATGTATGTATGTATGTATGTATATATATATATATATATCTATATATATACAGATATCTATATTATATTTATAAAACATTCGCATATTTTACCTCTCGAGGTCCTTTCGCGGGTCCTGTTGGATCCGTTCGCACGGTCCTTGGGGTCTTTTCTGGCCCGCTTGCGGCAATCTAGGAGCCTCGATGGCCACGCTGGTCCGTCTTGGCGGCCCCTTTGCGTCCTCTCGGGCCGCCAGGCCTATGAAATCGGTCGGAGCGCTGGAAAGGGCCCACCGGCCCCAGGGACGAAAGTCTTTTTTTTTTTCCACCGCAAAGCATCAGATAACCTCGACCTGCACAGTAAAACACGACAGCGGCGCTGCGCTACAGCGCGAGACAGAGGAAAGCAAGACGGCTTGTCGAGCTGTACAGTCGACGAACTTCTGCGCAGCATCGGACGAAAGCCTGGTGTGGGGCGGGTGGGGGCGTTTTGAGAAAGGAGGGGCCTGGGGGCCCGGGGGCCTGGGGGTCCAGCCGCCAGTCCCCGCGCCCTCTCGGGAGGCCTTTCTGGAGCGCCCCGGCGGCGTGCTGGACGCCTTGAGAGCGTCTTGGAACGCTCTTGTCGGGAGCGGCCAAGAGGGGGGCGTCCAAGAGGGGGGGGCGCAAATCATGACCGGCGGCATGTGCGCGGCCCAGCGGGGGGCCAGGGACGTAATGGAATAAGAAGAGGCGCCATGACATCTGAGGAGATATCATGGCCCCCGCCATGGTATCCCCCCCCCCCCCCTGGTCATCACCCCCCTCTTTGCCGCCCCCGACCTTGGGGCCCCCGGGGCGCCTCCGGGAAGCGTCCCCGGGAAATGTTTGGCATCTCGGGGCTGTCTTGGCCGGTCGTGGGGCGCCGCGGGGGGCCGTCACGGACCTGCGAGGGCCGCGCTGCACCAGCGGGCGTGTCCCTCTGGTGCCCTGGAGCCGGGACCACGTACGCATGTGCACGCAGACACAGATCAGACGCAGACAGAGGCACAGGCACACAGACACACAGACACACACACACACACAGACACACGGATACAGATACAGACACAGACACAGAGACACAGCGGCACAGGGACACAGAGACACAGAGACACAGGCAACACACACACACGTACGCACGTACGCACGCACGCACGCACGCACGCACGCCCCCCCACCCCTCCCCCCCCCCGCACACACACAGTCGCACAACCGCACAGTCAGCACAGTCAGCACTGTCAGCGCTGTCAGCACACGCACACGCACACGCACGCGCATACGCACACGCACAAGCACGCGCACACTAACACGCACACGCGCGCGCACATGCGCGCGGTCACGCTCACGCTCACGCTCGCGCTCGCGCTCACGCTCACGCTCACGCGCTCACACTCACACTCACACTCATACTCACACTGACACTGACACTGACACTGACACTGACACTCACACGCACGCGCCCGCGCCCGCGCACACGCGCCCGCACACGCGCGCACGCGCGCACGCGCACACGCGCACGCGCGCCTGCTGCTGGGCTGGACTCCTGGGCCAACGCACCAGGCCCCCAGCCCAGAAGGGCAGCCTGCAGAAGGAATGCGACCCCAAGCCGCACCTGCGGCATGTAGGGTGGCAGAGGGTGGGTCACAGCGCTGCCAGCTCTCCCGCCCCACGGCGCCGCGCGCTCGTAGCGGAAGGCCTTTGCCGTCTCGCGGGAGCTATGCCCGCCACGGCGCTGCCAACACCACCCATCCTGTGGGAAGCCCGCTGCGAGAGCTTTCCGTCTCACACGAGCTTCCTCCGCCGCGGGGCGTCGCCGTGCACGTCCCTCCCTGCGACGTGCTTCGAGGGGAGAGGGGCATGCGCAGCGCACGCGCCTTCCAACCAACCACCAGCCAGCCAGTAAGCCAGGAGGGGAAAGACGGGGGCGGGCGGGAGGCGAGGCCGACCAGGCGCGCGAGCCACAGCCCCCTGCTGGAGGCATCCAGGCAAAGAGCTCGCCTTGCAACCCACGGCGCCTGACGGCGCACTGTTTGAGGGCTGCCACAAAGGCTAAGAGGCCAGAAGGCGAAGAGGCACCCATTTGGCACCGGTCTGCTTGGGAGATGTTCCTGCCCCCCGCGTCACTGTGCGATTTAGGGGCATTGACAAAATGACATAAACATACAAACTCCGAGGTCCCCGCGGATTTCTCGGATCCGCGCTGGACCCCCCTCCCTGGCGCGCGGAGCGCGCCAGGGGCGGCGCCAGAGGCGCCGCCAGGGGTCTCCAGCGCCGATCCGAGAAATCCGCGCGGACCTCCGAGTTTTTATGTTTATGCCACTGTTCGTTCCCCTGTCGATGCGGCGCAGAGGCGGCATACAGTCGGGGCGTTGACCTAAGGAACCCTAAATAAGGAACGAGGCCCCTTTTTTCCACAAGTTAAACTTCGACTTCCGATCGAAGACATAAGGAAAACCTGAGGCAAGCTGCGAAGCACTTAAGGAACGCGGAGCCCCCCC